ATCAACATCAATGTGCTCATGAATCGTTTCTACAATCTTATCTATCTCTTTTTAATCTTTCAACCGTCATCTGGAATAATACTAGGCCACATATTCCCTTATAGAAATACGTAAAACAGGGGATGAGCGTATTGACTTACCTAACATGTGTACCAGTTCACTTGCGTCGGTTCACTCTTCCCTTGACCCCTCTACCGTTGTTGATTTAGTAATTTTCATCAAATGCTTGGCAACCTCAGCATGCCGTGGCTAAGACTGACAAATCACAAAGAATCTTTCATGTATCGAGCATGCTTTTGCATCTCACTGTATTTTTACAGCAATTCAGACTCCGCCGAATCGATAGCTTAGCATAATAATCGCAATACTTTTTATCGACCAAAACAGTGCCTCCAATTTTTTTTAGTTGTTCTGGTGTTTCAGCCCAAAATAGTCAGGGGTTTATTTTGTTGATTCCGACGGTTGTTTTCTTTCATTTATATTTGATCCCAATGAGACTGTCACTATTTAAACTATTCAACCTTCTAGTATACTTCTGGATGAACGAACCACCCGTAAACATCCATTTGTTAATAACCAGCTGAAATTGCTTCTTTTAGTTTGTGCTTCCTGCTTACCTTTGATGTTCACTCTGAATTCACCGACAACCCTGGCGCTTCGCCAAGTGATAGATATGCGGAGGACTATTCGGGGTTTACCTGTTATTTTCAAAATATAAATAATAATTTTTGCATGTGTTTATTGTTTCTCATCAAGCTGAGTTATTGAACATCTATGAAGCCCCTCCAACAGGTCTAAAGTACCATTAAAATCGGATAGTACGTATAATACCAGTGTTGACATATACATGTATACGTTTGTTTTGTTTTCGTTTTATGGGGCATCGGATTTCATTCGTGCCACTGGTTTCCGTCCTGAGCCATATCCCGCAGTGTCTCTAATCACCGACCGTCCTCATCACTTGGTCCCCAACCTCGAAAGTGTGTAGTACCAGGGGAAACCACTGCTGAAGCTAGATTCTTCAGCCGTGAGATGAAAAAGTCGCCAGAGTCCTATTCAAACAATATTTATTTACAACTGGACATGTTTCGTATTGCGCACTAAATGAACTGCACGTAAATAACTTGGAGAGTCTCGCTTTGGTATCTTTCCCATGGTTACGATGAAAAATTTCCATTGTACTCAAACCCAGTGATACCAACATTTGCTTGCCCAATTCCCTGTATAGTCTGGAATGGAATTAAATAAAGGCAGCCATGTTGTATAGAAAGTAAAAGGATCAAATAAAGTGATACTCCTAAAAATCATAAGGGTCATAGTACTTGTTGCAGCCACTTCTAACAAGGTAAATTTAAAAAATTGATTAGTTTCATGTATACTGCACCGTGTCGTACTCCACTAGGCTTTTGGCCGATACAGTGGCTCCTTAATATTTATTCGCTGTTAAACCTGATGCCCTGAGTAATTCCTAGGTCGAAATCAAACAATTACCGCCTAGCCAGTCTGAACGTGATTGAGGCTGTGTTCACTGTGCTCAAAAGAGAAGTATATATACTTACATTTGTTCTCGCATTGGATGTTATGGTCAGATTTTTGACGAAGAACTGCGTAAGTAAAATTAACATCGCACACCGGGTGAGCTGGACACCTAAAAGATTGAATGCAATAGAGAGTCGTGGAGAACAATAGGGTTATTCGCCTTCATGCACGTAACTCTGTTGGCTGTCTCTTGTTGTTTCACAACTTTCTTCACTAATGTCAATTCATTGATGTTTCTTAGTTAATTTAGTTAGTTTTTCGACTGTTTGCATGAAAGAGGCTCAATCTGCCATGCTATTTTGGAATCAAGCACCGGAAGTTTCCACCGTGGTGTATCTTCAACTGTGCTTAATAAAATAAGCCATCTACAAGTGAATATTAATCACGTTGGGGTACATAGGTATGTATATTGCTGTTTATGTAACGAGGTTTTATTGAACTAATTTTGCGCCTCTACTTATGTGCACTGCGTTACTCTGTGTCACGGATAGTGGTATCAGTTAATGCTAACCGTACCCCATATTCTCCATAGTCATGCATGCCGGCTTCACGTAAAGCCGGTTTCTATTTAGTTCAGTCCCCGTGGACAACTATAAAGTAAAAGAATACTCTGTTTTCCGTCATCGGATACGGTGCAAATGATTGCTTCTCCGAATCATGCGCACTTCTCTCTGTATCCCCTTACTACTTACTCATCATCATTCTTCCAAGCACTGGAATTAGTCTTTTCCATCGTTCTCTGACTTGTCTCCAAATTATTTAGTCTGAACTTAATTTTTTCTATATTCGATTTTATTTTCCCCTGTTCTAGTTCATCTACCACTAAAATATTCCATTTTGTCGACCCATAAAATTCAACAGAACTATCATACGGTATTAAGGCACTGTGACCAGGTCGATCATAATGTTTTTAAATTGTTTCTTCGCTGAAGCTCAGTCAGCTTGTAAGTAGTATGTTCTGAGCTATGATTCACAAATCGATTCATTTTCCTCATACTGTCGCACATACAACTGTGCATTCAGAATACCCCAAGACACTGGACCGCAGATCAAGTTCGTCTGTTTGCACACGCCCTTCGGTTGCACGGCAAAGACTTTCACACAATACAACGCGAATTCTTTGGTGGTCGGAGTGCCAGTGCCAGTAACACTGCTTCAGCTGGATCCGCAAACGGTACCGGGGCAAGTGCGAACTCTTTGACCACTGGACGAACTCGTGGTCGTGGCGGAGGTCGGCGCAAGGTCACTGTTGCTCCCCCAAAATCGACTAGTAGAGAAGATGAGGATGTCAAGCCGGAGGATGGAAAAGATGATACCACAGCATCGGTGGAAGATGCTAGTCGTAATGTGGCACAAGGTGAATTGTCTAGCTTGTAATAACATTTTTGTTTAATACTTGTGAATTGAGTTCTCCTGGCACGCTCTTTGTATACATTAACACATGAGAAGGCAAAGGGGACTTTTTCCGTTATGTCCGTTTTTTCACAGAAACCATTTATTGATCCATTCCCACCATTCGCCTTTGTCGATGACAGTGGGGCTGTAGTGTGCACCGCCTTTAGTGATGGGCAAGTCGGTTCGTGACTACCCCTATTATTTTGAAGCCTTGTGTGATTTTCCACCTCAAGTCCTAGGTTGCTACTTTTCATGAAAGTAGCGACCCTGGTAACGGTAAGGTTGACTCATCTTACGGTTATCACACTAACATATGCTGCCAGTTCATAATGTTAAGTTGTAAGAGTCAATCTTGGTTTGTATCACGAGGCACTGTTATTTTTGATCACAGAGGATCATGCTCATGCGTTTAATCATCTGTACGGAGTTGGAGACCGAAATTTTCTCGTGCATTTTTTTCAAAAATAGAAACGTTGGTGCAATCCAAAGTAATCTACTGAGTTGATAACAACACACCCACTGTCGGTGGTCGATGTAACCTCGATCACATTTCAAACAAAGTCTGTTTGCATGGAGCAGATTGACAACTGAAAAGTCGTTTTGTTCATACAAATTCTTGCACAGTTCACACGAGAGAATTCAGCTCCTTTCTCGTAAGAACCGATTCATACTAATTTCGCTCTATGTGGAGCCAAGAGAAAGAGAGAATAAAGTGGAGTTGAGGATCATCTACTCTTGAGGATCAATTGAAATAGTTCAACTGTCGTGGCGTTCTTATCCCATATATAGTATTCTCACTGCCGAACAACCTCCACGAAATGGGTGCTGTTACATACTTGTTATCTATCAGTAGTTCATGCCCCATCTTTTTTATTTGTTTGCCATTTCTGCGTCAGGATTACTAATTGCTGTCGAATTCTTTCATCCGTGGCTTCTGCTTGAGGTCAGTTTGTTCACTTAGTTCACCTCACCCGCTCCACGTTTTTTGTTTGTTGTTAAAATGCAAAACCGGCCTCAACTTTCCTGCAGTGTTTTGTCGATTTTTGTTGTTCTTCACTTCTCTCAAACAGCTGACTAGATTTGGAGTTAGAAATGAATGTGAATGACAGCCTGTTATAAACAGATATTGACACATCAAAATCATAATTTACAGATACGATCAATACAATAGATTATCAATAAACACAAGGAAATGCATCACTTATTTTCTTGGTCTGTGCTATGTTTCCATCCTTGTGAGAATTTATCTGCTTTGGCCTGGGCAACCTATCAGTATCGTGCCCTCGAGCAAAGCATGGACTTTTTTCTTCTGTATAATGATTTGTGTACCGTAATTTGTTTGACACAGTCTGAACAGAGACGTGTGTGGAAATATCTATAGTGTATATGTTCGAATCCCACGATCACCGCCACTTGACTTTCCTCGTTGTTTTTGTATAACAGCCCCTTTTTACTGAGGTTGCTTATGATAACGCAACCTGACCCCTTCAGAAGTTGTCTTTTTCTCCCTAGTATTTTTTGGGATCATTGTTCGATTACATCGCATAAAAATTCCCTTATACTCTCTTTTCGTGATATTTCAGCTGACCCGGCAATTGCAAACACTTCGTCGGAACCGGTGAAAACAGTAAAAGAATTAATTGCTTTCTATTATTATTGGAAACGCAAAGGTGCTGCCGCCTCCTCCTCTTGTGCAAGTTCAGGTGGCTGCGGAACAGGTGTCGGGTCCGGATTGGCAAGTTCCGGTTCAGCGGCCAGTTCACTAGGCCAAATCAACGGTGCGCTTGCCTCAGCCGCAGTGAACTTCTCTGCGGCCGTGGCCGCGGCGGCGAATGCAGACAACGCCTTGTCGGCTGCACACGCTGCCAGTGGTGCAACCGGATCGCAGTCCTACGGTGCCAGTGGAAAGAAACGCAAACAGACAGCGCGCGGCAATTTGTGTAAGTTTCCTTTTATTGGAACGGTCGTGTGCTCGTCACCGTACTGTGTTGTGTTGGTTGATGTAAATATGTATTGTCTTGAAAATCAAATACCAAACCAATACTCGACAGAGGTTTGATGAATATGTCAAAAGCAAATTTATCGGCCACAAAACAAAAAATAGCTTCCAATATCTGTGACGTTGTAGCCACATCTGAAAATCGTACATCAGTACACTGAACGAGTGGTATCTGGGTAAACGCAAAATTTAGTTTGAATATTAACCTCTTTGTGAGCCCAGTTCGGTCGTAAAGTCGCCAAATCATCACCCCGGGAATGTGTGTTCGCATCCTACCATCACAGACTAACTTTCCTCATTGTGTGTTGAATTACAGTCCATTGATTGACCGCTTTCCCCCTCCTGAAAATTGTATCTTTGCACATTCAACAAAAGGAATTAAAAAATAAAAATGAAAAAAGGTACAGAAGCACTCTTCTGACATAGTCTGTGCGCATTTGAACTTCGCCGTTTGTCTGATTAGTTGGGAAAACTATATAAACGGGATATGTAAGAGTTGAACTACTATCGACCGGTTGGCTATTGTCCCGCATTGAGTGCGCTTACGGGTTACCATTTGTGGGAAAACAAATACGTCCAAATCCGTTACCACAAAACCAATCACCCTTGTGAAATGTTCTACGTAGTTCAAGGTAGTCTACTGATTTGTCCCCGCATCACTCAACAAGATCCTTTGATCTGGGTGTGCTTCCTACACTGATAGGGCAACAAAGCAACTAGGTGTAATCATGGTTGTGTTCCGGTCAAATGCTTCAGCAGTTAGTGTACACCAGCTGCTCATCTCCAGATAGCCAAGGTTTCTTTAGATAGGGATGCATAGATAGATAGATAGATAGATAGATAGATAGATAGATAGATAGATAGATAGATAGATACTAGATAGATAGATAGATAGATAGATAGATAGATAGATAGATAGATAGATAGATAGATAAAATATAGATAGATAGATAGATAGATAGATAGATAGATAGATAGATAGATAGATAGATAGATACTAGATAGATAGATAGATAGATAGATAGATAGATAGATAGATAGATAGATAGATAGATAGAAAGATAGATAGATAGATAGATAGATAGATAGATAGATAGATAGATAGATAGATAGATAAATCTTTTTAAAAAGCTCTCGGTTCGATACTCAGATGTTTACCAAAATTGATTGTTCAGATTATCTTTGACTGTTTGCTTCTCCAGTGTCACAGTTGTGGTTTGCTGTTTTATAATTTT